TATATATATATGTAAATCAGAATTGAGCATTAAGACCTGCAGTGTGAACGTAGCCTATGACAAACTCCTCCCACACAAGAAACTCCCACTTAAGTAGAAGAGACCCCCTTCTCAGTATTTTCTGATTTTCATTCCTCTCTTTTTTTTATTTCAGGATGATTTCGAGCACACATCCAAGTTTAAGGTAGGCTGTGACCTTGAAAGGGATAAAAATAAATCTCATTACCTTGTGGTTTTGTTCGTCGTCTCTGATGACGTGCACGAGCGGATGAYTCACGCTGTTCGCCGTTCCCATGTGTGCCTCAGGTGCAGCTTTTCTCTGATCCGGACTTTCAGGGCTCTGTCCTCGACTTGGAGGACAGCGCACCGTCCCTGCAGGACAGTTTCTCTGTGGCCTCCTGCAAAGTTCTGGCTGGCAGGTGAGACRTATACGCAGCAAATGTCTAAAGCARATTTTAGTAGTAGATGTTAATCTGCAGGATCTTATGGTTATAGAAGCTTTGGACATTTGCATGTCTAACAAATCTACTGTATATTAATGCATAATGRTGCTAATCCCTGTTAATCTGTGAGAAAGCAACATCCTCAAGCAATAATAATTACGCAAATTCTTAATGACTTCGTGGGAACATGACAAACATAAAAACTGAACTTTTGCCCTCTGAGTTGTTTTTAATTATAATTTCCATGTTCCTCCTGCACGCCTGTTTCCTTTTATGCAAATGCTGCTCAGCTGGCAGGCGTTTGAAGGCCAGGACTTCACAGGGAAGATGTACGTGTTGGAGGAAGGGAGCTACCCAGACCTGAGAGCGATGGGCTGCATCAGCGGCAGCTCGTCCATTCTTTCGCTGCAGACTGTTGGATTTGTGAGTCACCCTTTTGAATCTGCTAACACCCATCCACCCACCTATTTTGTGCTGCCTGCTAATCCCTGTGAAAACACAATCTGCTGAAATGTGCAACAAACATTTTGTGTTGCACGTTAGTATGTTTACGCAGTTAAACCCTACGAAGTGTTGTCCKAAAACTAAAATGCTTATTTAAGGAGATGTTGTTTCTGTTTGAGGAGTAATAAGTCACATGTAGATAACTGTAATTTGACAGTTACTTAGGCAAATACATATAATTACAATTGTTTTCTGTAAAACAGCACTGCAGTGTGAACGCTGTGTGCTGAATGAGTTTGCTAATAATTTGCAGAAGAAGTTAAAACTGAATTGTTAAAACTAATAGGAGCAAAAACACGAGCAAAATGTTAAAATAAGCTAAATTCTATAGCTAATAAGTTTTCCTAGCATTAAAAATGTAAGATTTTCCACTTTTAAAATGATSACTTCTTGTGAAATGATCTTTTAAAGTGGGGTTCTGTGAAAAGGTTCCAGTGTGAACAATAAATATCTTACCTGTTCTAAATATTTTTTTGGAATGACCTGATTTTGGAGAAACTGAGTTTGATTTCAGCCAATTTAATGAGCTAACAGCTAACCCAAGCAAGTGTGGATTATTCTATAAATAAAGCTTTATCAGTTCAGCATTTCACTGTTATTTACTTAGTTTTTTCTTCTGTTTTCAAATACAAATATTGGCAGCAGTCTGTTTCACTTTCAGCAGGAGAATCATAATTCTGCAGGAAGAACTGTAAAGTGAAACAAATGTAATTGCGTAGAWTATTTCAGAAAGCGTTTAGATGCTTGGACTAGCTTTCAGCTCGTCGATCGGATCATAATTAAACTCTGTTTATGAAACTAGACTTGTGAGGATGTGTGCAGGCAGGTTCAAAAAAACAAACAAACAACAAGCTCTGTGATAAGCAACAAAAAGGCTGGCGAGGCAGCTCAAAACTCACAGAATCCTCTCAGGAAAAACAGCACGAAGAACGTGGAACACACCACACTGGCTAGGAACAGCATGAGAAACACCTGGGGGAGACATAAGAGGGAACAGGTGAGCATGGGCGGGGCTGTAGGGCAGAGATACACAGGGAAACACTGAAACACTAGAAAAACAAAGAGAAAAGACACAGACTGGCTGTGTCTTAATTCAGGGGCTGGGTCCTCATGAGTGCACATTTATCGGCTACATAGTCACTGCCCCGCACGGAGGACTGTCCCAATTCGAAGGCTCCTCATCACGCGGCCGAGGAATGCGTCCTACTTC